TGCAGATAGGGATATCATAGCAATTGGGAAAGTTTGCATAGCCTGATTCCTATAGACACAAGATTGTTGCTAGCACTGTCACTTGATGGCTATGGGTAACTTATTTTTAGTGTTCCAAAGATCTAATGTGTACATCTAAATAAACGACCTTTTGATTATTATTATTATACAGGATTTATATAGCGCCAACAGTTTGCTCAGCGCTTTACAATATATAACGATAAATCGTTTTACAGTCGCTTTACAATATAATGATAAATCGCTACATTTTAATTGCTTGTCTCTAAATTCTATCACACTTTTTTTTTTCTCCTTTTTAGGTCTATGCTTCCTGATGTTATTGATGATTTTATTCTGAATAACCCAGAGTCTCCAGGACATGAAGCCATTTTTTTCTCTTTTTATGTTTTTTTCACTAAATTTGCCTCTGGGGTTTCGCTGGGAATATCGACGCTAAGTCTGGAGTAAGTATGCTTTAAAAAGGCCAGCATAGAGAGAGGAATCCAAATCCATTCCTACCATAAGAAAATGTGATGATCTTGTCTTGGGCTGTGTCTTTTAGCAGCAGCATGTCACTATGGTCTAGGCACCGTTCACACTTAAGCGTTTTTCAGCTTGATGATCAGAAACTCCCAACAAGGAAAATCCCAGTTATTTCAATGGCCCCTGTTCACATTTGAGCGTTTTGTTGCCTGTAGCAACATGCGCTACTTTTCAGGCAGATTTGAGAGTTTCTGTCCCCATAGACATCAATGGGAAATTGCCTGAACAGCAAAAAAATTAGCTTTTTTTTTTTTTTTTTTTTTTTTTTTTTTTTCCCCCCAAGCATTTTTTCAGGCTTTCAGCTCAAAAAGCAGCTCCTCTCCCCTTTTCTAGCATCATTTAATACCTTTTTTATAAGCACACATCTGGTGATCAAAATGAAGGGCTTCCTTCTGGCAGTTGAGGCATTCATTGCTCTCATTTGTGGCCACCCCTGCATCTATGATCCCAGGGATCCCCTTTTTATGACCTGGGGAAGAACCACCAGATTCTGGGAGGAAGTGGGACAAAACTTGCTTCCCCAGTGGGACAACTACATTGCTCCCAAGATCAAGGAGAAAGGTACAGAACTTTTCTACAGCAGCCATGTGCTTGATTCTGGGTTTTTTTTTTTCTGTTGTATGTACCTAGTACATATCTACACAGGTTTCTATTAGCCCCAGAAAAAATGCCAAAATGAAAAAACACGTATGATATTTGCAAATCTGCTATAAAATTAAAAAAAAAAGCTCAATATGCCTGAAAACACTCAGCTGAGTGTGAATGTAGCCTTCTGCTTCCCTGTCTGCTTTCTGCTACTGAGTCTTGGTGCATCCCTGCATTGTTTTCCAGTGTCCATATGGCTGCTGCAGGGAAGACTTGGTGTTGGGATGTTGCCTTGGGTAGCACAGTGGGATGGTATAGTCCAGGGTGAGAGGCTATAAGGATAGGAATATGTGCGTTTTTTATGTATTTTCTGTTGACATACTGTTTTTGCAGTCTGTGCTTTAGTCACTCATGATCCTTTTCTAATCAGTTTTGCAGGCTATCAGGGCCGTTCTTGCTATCAGCCAGAGGCTGTCAATCTGACACTGAGGTTGTTGGTCTGTGCTGCTCCTATAGGTTTGATTCTTGTTGGACTGTTACTGTTTAAACTTTATCCAATCGATGAAGAAAAGAGGAAAGAAAACAAGAAAGCTCTACAACTTCTCAGGTGAGAATTAAATAGATTTTGAAAGTGTACCTATAATGATTTAGTTGATAATTATCATTTGTTCTAATAAATTCCTTTTAGAATTAGGAATTAAACAATTTGGTGCACTTTCCAAAGGCATAAAGGGATGTACAGTGGATATGAAAAGTCTACACACCCCTGTTAAAATGTCAGGTTTCTGTGATGTAAAAAAATGAGACACAGATAAATAATTTCAGAACCTTTTGCACCTTTAATGTGACCTATAAACTGTAAAACTCAGTTGGAAAACCAATTGAAATCATTTAGGGGAGGAATAAACATAAAAAACTCAAATGTGGTTGCATAAGTGTTCACACCCTCTTGTACCTGGGGATGTAGCTGTTTCAGAATTAAGCAATCACATTCAAAATCATGTTAAATAGGAGTCATTACACATCTGCCATCATTTTAAAGTGTCTCTGATTAACCCCAAATAAAGTTCAGCTGTTTTAGTAGGTCTTGCCTGACATTTTCTTAGTCGCATCATACAGCAAAAGCCATGGTCCGCAGAGAGCTTCCAAAGCATCAGAGGGATCTCATTGTTAAAAGCCATCAGTCAGGAGAAGGGTACCAAAAATTTCCAAGACATTAGATATACCATGGAACATAGTGAAGGCAGCCATCATCCAGTGGAGAAAAAATGGCGCAACAGAACTGGATGTCCCTCCAAAATTGATGAAAAGACGAGAAGAAAACTGGTCTGGGAGGCTGTCAAGAGGCCTACAGCAACATTGAGGATCTGCAGGAATATCTGGCAAGTACTGGCTGTGTGGTACATGTGACAACAATCTCCCGTATTCTTCATGTGTCTGGGCTATGGGGTAGAGTGGCAAGACTGAAGCCTTTTCCAGCTAAATTTTGCAAAAACACATCTGAAGTCTCCCAAAAGCATGTGGAAAATGTGTTCTGGTCTGATGAAACCAAGGTTGAACTTTTTGGCCATAATTCCAAATGATATGTTTGTCGCAAAAAAACAACACTGCACATCACCAAAAGAACACCATACCCACAGTGAAGCATGGTGGTGGCAGCATCATGCTTTGGGGCTGTTTTTCAGCTGGAACTGGGGCCTTAGTCAAGGTAGAGGGAATTATGAACAGTTTCAAATACCAGTCAATATTGGACCAAAACCATCAGGCTTCTGCTAGAAAGCTGAACATGAAGAGGAAGTTCATCTTTCAGCATGACAATGACCCAAATACTACATCCAAATCAACAAAGGAATGGCTTCACAACAAGAAGATGAAAGTTTTGGAATGGCCCAGTCAGAGCCCAGACCTGACTCCAATCAAAAATCTGTGGGGTGATCTGAAGAGGGCTGTGCACAGGAGATGCCCTCGCAATCTGACAGATTTGGAGTGTTTTTGCAAGGAAGAGTGGGCAAGATGTGCCATGCTGATACTCATACCCAAAAAGACTGAGTGCTGGAATAAAATCAAAAGGTGCTTCAACAAAGTATTAGTTTAAGGGTGTGCACACTTATGCAACCATATTATTTTAGTTTTTTTTTTTTTTTTTTTTTTTTTTATCTTCCCTCCACCTAAAAGTTTTCAGTTTGTTGTTCAACAGAGTTGTACGGTTTATAGGTTACATTAAAGGTGGAAAGTTTTGAAATGATTTATCTTTGTCTCATTTTTTTACATCACAGAAACCTGACATTTTAACAGGGGTGTGTAGACTTTTTTTATGTCCTAATTATTGAAAACCTCTTGGAACAGAATTGTTTGTCTAGGCGATCGCGCAATTATTAATTGGGTTCTTTCACTCTGCAGAGTCAAAAGCTGTGTAGCACAGACTGTCTCAGATAGATATATTTTCACATTTTCATAATGAAGACAGGTTACTTTCACTACTAGCTCTCCATAATAACACCTTGATGAGCGGTCAACCCAACAAAAGCTTGGCAAAATACAGTCATTTTAAATGAGTAAAGCTGGGCATAAAAGAAATGGAATACGGCCAATTCAACAGGCAGTTTGACAGACATTGATTAATTGACTTCTGTCAAATGGACATACTGACTGGAAAAATGTTGATTAGTGCATTCTGACAGTGGCAGGAACTGCTGTCAGAATACGGTGTAGGGGGAATCCCTCCATCCACCTCACTTGTGTGGATGGACAAATCCGGTTTTTTGGGTTTTTTTTTTTTTTTTTTTTTTTTTTTTTTTTTTTTCAGCCTTCTGGATGAACAAAAAAAGTCTGACAAGCTGTATATCTTTTTGTCTTTTCTGTTCTTCAAAAATGAATTACTTTGAATACATTAGAAATGTAAGCATTGTGTGACATATACCATGTGGATGATCTGGACGTCATAATTTGTTTGGATTGTGGAATTGTTGAACCTAAATGTATTGTATTGTCTGTGTCCTGACTTGGAGGTTTCACCCTCTTTGTCCTGGTGATCACTGTCACAGTGACATCAAGCAATGGGAAATTCAAAATGATACAATTGTGGAAAAAGGAAATCTTCTAGTGAGGACAACTGTTCTATTGAAAAATGTCAGAATATTTCCTTTCATTACTTGTGCCTCAGGGACAGAATAAAGGGCAGTCTCTCCAATGGGACACAAAAAATTTGCAGGGGTTTTACTATTCCATACTCCAAACACACAAATATCTTGAATAAGTACAAATGTTATGCCTGAAACCAATCCAGAAATGTGGTCTGGAAAAGGGACATTGACCAGGCCCCTCTGTTTACTCACTAGCAGGGAAAATTAAACCGAGTCAATGGACCTTATTTATGAGTGTTCAAGGGAATACCCTTTTGCTTCTCCATTAAATTTTCAAGCTGTTTGCTAAAAGCAATTTTTTTTTATCCTAAGTGATCTCTAGTTAAGCAAAACTGTAAAGGTTATTGGAAATTTTAAGTGCCAGCATTTAGGACAGGCAACATTTCCAGCAGGTAAAATGATAAAAATTCTACTCTTTTTCCAAGGCAGGGGCAGACTGACCATTTGGAAACTCAGGCACTGCCCAAGGGCCCAGGGTCAGTAGGGGGCCCCATGAGATGCCCCTGGTACTTTTTTTGAGTTTGGGCAAGGGCACAGGGACCCTATGATCCCCTATTGCCCAGGGGCCCCATGAGTTGTCAGTCCGCCCCTGTTCCAAGGACATATTTTATATATAAACTTAGTTTTTGCTTGAAATTTGCATATGCTGCTGTGCTTACACATGGTCTGTTTCTCTTCCTCAGAGAGAATGATCGAGACTCTGATTCTGACTCAATTGAACTTGCAAGTAATTTATGACACAGGCAAATTGTCGTCTTAACGTTTACACACAACTGTAGAGACATTCAGTTCACCCCATCGGGAGAAGGTACCAGCCAATGAAAGACTTTACTGCACTACGCTCTTAACTTTCCCTCTGGGGACAAGTGCCAACCCTTTGGTGCTATCTGTGCTTGGAACACACTGAATGCTGCAATCCTACTGAACCTTGCACTAACATAGGGCAAATGTATTAATTTAACTGTACATTTCTAACTAGGTTTTGTATATAAAGACTTTATCCCAAATGTTGGACGAATGGAGAAGGTAATTGTAAAATACTGTACATGTGGTTAAAAAGTTGTCTCGGCAGGTTGTAAAAACTCCCTGCAAATTGCCAAACACTTGAGATTTTCTAGGGTATGTATAGTAATAATAAATGTGGACGATTGTGTTTTATAATAAATGTATACGCTGCTATGTATTATGTGAATCTTGCTATGTACATAAGTATTTGTAATTTATATACGACAAAAATATTGCCTCCTGAACATCCTTAAAGATTTAATATACTGTTTTTCGTATTTATTTTACATAAAGCACATGGGCAACACTTATTTTGCAAGCATACTTTTTTAAAATTGTATTATGAGAAGCTGCATGTTGATTGAATGACCAAAGTAACACATGGACCATCTTCTGACTCCGAGGGCAGTGCCTCTGACAAAATATTAGAATGCAGTATTAATGGTGATCGAAACTGTGTGGTTTTGCGGTTTTAAAAAGCGGACTATCTGACAGTGTATGCTTGTATGTTTACAACTGTACATGTGTGCAAGATTTTCTACAAGTTGAATGTTCATTTATAGAATTAAAAATTAGCAATGTTTTTTGGGGGCTTTGTGTTGTCCTGGGTAAGATTATTTTCTGTAATTTGAAACAAACATGATGCATAAATATATGGAAAATTACAGATTTCCTGGCTTTTCTTTTCATGCTGCATGTAATAAACTTCGTGATAGGGCTCCATATGGGTACAGCAGGAGAAAATGCTTCTTGTTAATGTCTGTCTGAGCTTATCTCTGAAAAGCATCAGCACTTATCTGTACAGTTGGTATTCCATAGAGGACCACCCAGATATTTCCATCTCCTTTGAACCAGCATCACACAGTGATTGTACATTGTCCACATAAAACATTGATGGTATCAAACGATGCTTATCAAATCCTTTTTGGATTTGTGCTGCCCCTACAGATGTGCACAGTACTTGTAAACGCTGACCAGTATTGCACAGATCAATATGTAATTGCACATATCAAGATGTAATGCACAGCTACACTAAAAAATCGTAATAATCCATACCTGTGGGTCTTTGGTGGCGATTTTCACCAACACTGGTGCAGCTCTGCGTGATAGCCAACCAACTTCTAACTTCAGCTTGTTCAATTAAACTTTGACGATAAAATCCTGGATGCTGATTGGTTTCTAGCAGCGCTGCACCAAATTTTGAACTGTCCAGTTTTAGTAAATAACCCCCTTTGTGATAAACCAGTAGGTTCTGTTTCAGATACAGAGAACGTGCTCAGCAGCTACAAAATGAGGCACATGAGAAAGCTAAAAGGCTAGGGATTCCTTTTTTTTTTTTTTTTTTTTTTAAAGTGTCAGTCCACCCAAAATGTATTTTTCTGTGTATTGGTTGAAGCTAAACAATTAATCCACCTGATTTTAATATGTCTCGGGCTCCTGAGTTCTTCACCCTTGCAATGGCCATTATATGGGTTTCCCACTCTCCTATTACATTTTTTTCTTTTATAATCTAGAGATGCTGAGCATACAAAAGTAGATAGGAACTTGGTCAGCAATATTTTCAGAATATACGAGACATCCAAGAAACCAGGGACTGACTATAACTGTCTAGAGGTAGGGGAAGCAAGCTTACCACTTGTCTTCTGAGAGGACTTTAGTTGTCTATCCAATAAGATAGGAGCCAACAGACCCATCTATTGCATGACTGCATATGCCTAGCCATTTGTATTCACTGTATGTTTAGGCAGATACCCCCTGGCCATTGCCTTTTCTCAGGGAAACCGTAACATCTGAGAAGATGATGATAAAAATGTGAAAAATATACAAATCACAAATCTGAGAAGATGAGTCCTGATCAAGCAACTCTTCCCTAAAATCAGTTGACTGGGGGTGCCTGCTGAGCTGGTGGACTAAAGACCACATTCAGCCATTCCCAATTTATCATAATTTTGCAACAGTCCTGTCATGTTCATGAACATCCCTTTAGACTGTGGCTACCTTCAACATTTTAATTTATTGTTGGAAAAACATTTTAATGGGTTACCTGCTTCATTGGCAATCTATTGATTCCAGGTGAGGTGGTTGAACAAAACTAAAGGGGTAGCTACAGCCCTGAAAAAAAAAAAGTGTACTTTTATGTCTGATTATGTAAATTTGTTTTGTATCAGGTTCAGATTGGTAATGCAATATAACAATGGTATGTAGCTATGTTTCATGATTGCTATGGAGACTTCCTAACAATTCTAGCTAATGGAAAATGTAATCCTGGCCTCAGCAGTATAATATGCTTACCATGCCTCCTGCTGTTGCTTGTCTCGTTGCCACTCTGTAAAATTGGCCGTGCTACAGAGCATTACATATGTTAAAGAATAGACCAATTAACATCAGAACACACAGCGCAATCTGTGTACAGAAGTAAGTCTCCCAGGTCCTTTTTTTTTTTTTTTTTTTTTTTTTTCTGTTCAGATTCTTTACAGGAAAACTGCTAAAATGCACGTATTGCATCTCCTTGGTTTGAGTGCTCTGGACTTTTTTCAAAGCAAGACTTCTCAGTGAAAGGTACAATTTAAAGACTCCCGCTCTGCATATTAGCCTCACTCATAGGTAGCCATTGAGCTGAAAAATGGCATCCTCTGTCTGAGGATTCTCGCACATGCATTCCACTACATGGAAAATCTTTCTTAATTGCATACCTTTTTAATCCAGTAAGCATGCCGTGAAAGGGCTGCAGTAATGTGGCCAAGTGTCGGGCAGGTGCCTGCACTGCCTCATAGTGACATCAGACTTGGGCTGCTGGCACTAAGAGCATTCCAGCATGAAGAGCTCAGAAAACCGAGATCTGCAAGATACTGACATTTACGCACAGTTTCAAGGAAACCTTCACTTATAGAAATAAGAGGGCTGCCATTGCTGATCCCCATTGCAGAATGTTCATTGCCTAGCTATCTCTGGCTTTAATACTGTCGGATCCTGCCGCCATGCGACGGATCCCCTCGGGCCGCGGCGGTGCGAGTGCGCAGGAGCGTGCAAGTGTGTGCATGCGCAGGAGCGTACACGTTACTGCAAGGCGGGCTTTTTAAACCTGCAATACAGTGTAATCAGTGCCTTCTGGTCTATGACATCCTCCACTCCATAACTTGATTCTGTTGCCTGTATCCTGATCTGACCTGACTAAGAAAGAACTGCACCGACCCAGACTATCCGCTTGCCTACTCCCTTGTACTTGATTTGCTCGTTTGATCCTGACCCAGCTTGTCTGACTCTGCTGCACCTACTTGAATCTGCACCTGGCTTGTATCCTGATTGCTGCCATACTTACCTGCTGCTGCACCTGGCCTGCATCCTGGTCACCACCATACCTGCCTGCTACCGCATCCACACTCCTGTGTCCAGTCCCAGCCTGCATCCTGATTGCCGCCATATCTGCCTACTGCTGCACCTACGTTCCTGCATCAGGATGTCCTGGGTCTTCATCTACCTACCGCCAGCTCCAGACCTACCCGACACTCATGCCAGTCCTAGCTTTGCGCCCTGTGTTTCCACTATTGGGCTCTGAGCGACAGTCGTAAGAGGACGCCTCCTCTCCACGTCAGGCTCCCCAACAAGGTACGTGACAAATACCCTCTTGCTAAACTTGAACAAGCATGTAATTTATAAAGTCTTAGGCTAGGTTCATATTTGTGCATTTCAGATAAGTTGCGCATGTTGCTGCAACGCACAAACATCCATCCCTTTTGCAGGCACACAGTGCTTTCCAACAAACCTTGCTAACGTATGTGTCAAAACATTTATTTTGTGTGATTTTTCGCGTGTAGTGCAGACCACTGGAATAAATGGGCTACCATAAATGCGACATGCAAAAGTGCACATGTACCCTCACATCTGCATACTGTAGGTATGAATGGAACCTTAGGTTTGTCAAGGTAAAAAAAAATAAAATTTAAAAACATATACCATGTATCTCTGCACAGTCATTATGTAGTACGTTTAATAATTTCAGTTCTTGTACCTGTATATGGATTGCAACAATTTTTAATTTTTTGCAAATTATAACAAAGTAAATGCAGAATAAACAAACATTTACTTTGTTTTAATTTAACAGAAGATCTTATACCCCATCTTAATTGTACAGTACAGGACATAATATTCATAGGCTGGGTTATACCTTTAGACTTTTTGAGGAGACACCCACTGGGGCATGCCCCTATAACCCTACCTTATTCCAAGTCTCCAGTTTTTTGCTACTGTCCTAAGGTGTTCTATGTCTCCTCCCTTACAGAGAAATCACTCTTCACTTAACTAGGCTGTAATTTTGCTTCAGGTTCTTCAATCAACTCTTCAGTCATTACTTCAGTAAGCCACAGGTTGCTGTCCAGGTCCATGGCTGTTATTCCTCCCTATGGAACCCAGACCCTTAAGACTCCTCTGGAGGGGGTATGCTCACCATGATGAGTGAATCCTGGACCCTATATACCTTTTTAGGTAGGACAGGGTCTCCGGTCTTTTTTGCTCATCCCTGTAGTCTCATAGCAAGTAATATGTACTGTACATAGTTAGTCTGGCTGAAAAAAGACAAAAGTTCATTGATTTAAAAAAAAAAAAAATCCTATAATCCTACACCCACAGTTGATCCAGAGGAAGGCAAAAAAAACCCCAGCAAAGCATGATCCAATTTGCTGCTGCTGGGAAAAAAATTCCTTCCTGATCCCCCGAGAGGCAATCGGATATTCCCTGGATCAACTTTACTTATAAATGTTAGTATCCAGTTATATTCTGTGTATCTAAGAAACAATCCAGGCGTTTTGTGAAAAAACCTTTCCGTGTTTGGAGATTAAATTTCTTTTCCTCCAGACGTAAAGAGTACCCCCTTGTCCTCCTGTGATGACCCCAGGGTGCATAAGCTCTACACCAAGTTCACTATATGAACCACTGATGTATTTATACATGTTGATCATATCCCCCCTTAATCTCTTCTCAAGAGAGAAAAAATTCAGTTCCTCTAATCCAGTGGTTCTTAACCTTGTTGGAGGTACTGAACCCCACCAGTTTAATATGCGCATTCACCGAACCCTTCTTGATTGGAAAAATAAAATATGATTTTTAAAATTCAAAACATAGGTATATATTTAGGTATATATTTATACATAGGTGCACAAAATGAACAAAACCGTTAAGAACAAAACCATTAAAACATGATTTTCACACAAAAACAAAAACATAATAATGATATTTACTGCACGAATCATATGAGTCGGGTGTGGGTCTTCACCTCCGCCGAACCCGTGAGACTGACTCACCGAACCCCTGGGGTTCGATCGAACTCAGATTAAGAACCACTGCTCTAATCTTTCCTCATAGCTGAGCTCCTCCATGCCTCCTATCAGTTTAGTTGCCCTTCTCTGTACTTTCTCCAGTTCCCCAATGTTCTTTTTGTGAATTGGTGCCCAAAACTGAACTGCATATTCCAGATGAGGTATTATAATGATTTGTACAGGGGTAATATGATATCTCTCTCTGGAGTCTATACCTCTTAATACAAGAGAGGATTTTGCTCGCTTTACAAACCGCAGCTTGGCATACATTATTGGATTTACACTGTTTGTGTATCCTGCATGGTATGTGTTTTTAAACTAAAAAATATAAAAAAAACTAAGAATGTGTTTGAAACTTATATAGTATTAAACTTTTCAAACTTGCACACTTTTTACTGCCAGTTCCGCCTTTTTTTTTTTTTTTTTTTTTTTTTTTTTTTTTTTTTTTTTTTTTTATAGAACTCAGTTGACTCCTAGGTCACTACTAGAATTGCTATGTACTCCTTCTTGGATATGCTTACCTAATTTCTGCACCTACTTCACAGGTACCTCATAGGGAAATACCCTCACTGATAGCAATGGTGGAAACCAGATACAAAGTATCCATGGCAAAAGCACGTTACTAAATTAATTTCGTAGATTAGTTTCAAAATTCCTTTTTAGTTTTGTTCATTTTCTAACAAATTCCACATTTTCAGAATGATTCGAATCGGTTAAAAATGTATTGATCTGAATTCTTTATGAAGAATAGCTGGTTGTTAACCACTTGCCTACTGGGCACTTTTACGCCCATCTTGCTCAGGCCAATTTTCAGCTTTCAGTGCTGTCGCACTTTGATAATTGCACGGTCATGCAACACTGTACCCAAACTAAATTTTTATCATTTTTTTTTTTTTTTGTTTAGATCTATAGTTTTCTTTTTTGCTCCTGGGTTTTTTATATTTTGCTAAACTAAAAAAACTGAAAATTTTGAAAAAAAAAAAAAAAATGTTTTTTCCTAGTTTCTGTTTTATACAATTTTGTATACAGGGAATTTTTCTCCTTCACTGATGTGCGCTAATGGCTGCACTGATGGGCACTGATAGGTTGCACTGATGGGCATTGACAGACATGGGCACTAAAAGGCAGCACTCATATATGGCACTGATTGGGGGCACTGATGGGTGGTCAGGAAAGGGGGAACAAGTGCCCCCCCCCCCACAATGCACCTTGTCCCAATGTTGATGAGGAAAAGGGCCTCTTCCCCACAATCCTGGGCTTTTATTAAAAAAAAAAAAAAAAAAAAGTCCTCCAAAGTAAAGTAGATCCAACGTCAATCACCATGAAGGCCGGCTGCCGACCCAAAAAAAAAAAAAAAAAAAGGCTCTGCACCCGTTATAAAATAACAAAAAGGCGGGGCCAATATGATTCTAGTTCTATCTCAGGCAAGAAACAGCCTACCCAATTTCAAAATGTATTTGACAACTAAAAAAAAAAAAAGTGGTCTGTTCTTGCAGATTCAGTTTTAAGCATCTTACTATACCTATAGAAGATGTTCCTTCATTAAAGCTCTGTTTAATGTCGCAGGTCCAGCTATACAGCCAGCTATTACTGCAATTTCTATTTGTGAAACCACAACTAATTGGACTATTGGCAATGAACAACCAACCGTATCCTGTCTTCCAAGGCTGTGCTTTAGCAAAAGTGGAAAAAAAAGTGGGGGTCCCCAAGGTAAAAATTTCTCCTAGTCCCTTATCCAGGCATGGTCTTGCCTGTATGAAATCAGGTCACATGGCTTTCAATATTGGGGAGTACCCTGAAAGGGGAGATGCAGAGCTAAAAGTACTCCTAGTATTCCTTCTTTACCCATTTCTCAAAGAGATAAATGTAAATAAGCGCACACTTTAGAAAAAGTTATTACATTACAATGAAAAACAATTTTAAAAAATTAACTACTCATTAATGCCCCTAATGTAACCTAGTCTCAATCATGATGTCCAGCTTTGTAAATCCATTGTTAATGACCGCTTCCAGCGATTGTATGTACATCTACCCAGTAGTGTATTTAGGTTTTGTGCTGCCCTAGACGACACAAAAATTCCCCCCCCCCCCACGCAAACAGAGCCTGACATTGACCAAGAACACCCCTGCCTGCCACCTGAGCCTCCCGATACCACAGCCCCCATACACCAGCCACCATCTTTCAAGGCAAGAGAGACAGTCACCTTCACAGCTCTGGACATCCCCAGGAAAGGGAGTCAGGCTGTTCATACACCATCATGAAACCCATGGCATCTCTCGGAACCCGCCAGGTCCCCATGCTGCATGTGCCCCTTCTTCCATCCCTTCTTCCAACGGGCAGTGCTGCCCCCCTCAAAAATGCTGCCCTAGGCAAATGCCTTGTTTGCCTTGTGGTAAATACACCCCTGTATCTACCATCAATCACAACAGCCTGCCAACGTGTATACATCACACTCTTTTAAACAAGTGACATCCTTGGTGACATCATTGATCAAATATGGCCATGAGTGAATTCTGCATTAGGTTGGGTTTGTGTCAAAACTACATCCAACCTAAACCCAAATCTCACCCCTAATTAGAAGTATATTTATACAGCAGTGAATTTGACATTCTCCAAAAATATACTGTCATTTAAAGCACGTGCCAAAAAGATTCACCTGCGGTTATTGAATGTCAAATATTCAGCTTTATAAATATGCCCATAGTGTCTTAGCTGCATATGGTACCCACAAACCTAAAATGACAGTCGCCAAATCTTGAAAAAAAAAAATTCCCTAACACACCAGAATTCTGTCCACATAGGCTAAAGACAAATGCATTTGACAGAGCCGAATTGTTGTGGTTAGAGACGGGTCATCATATAAATGTTTGATTGTGGATGGATCATGTCTGCATATCTGGCTTCCTTCTAGTGTCTAAGTGTCTTCAAGCCTTAGTGTTAAGACACTTGCAGAATTTAAAGGACAAGTTCACCTTTCGTAACATGTTACACCCATATTCAGGATGTACTGTGTTACGAATAGACTGGCCCCCGATCCTCCCCACACGCCATTGTGACAGCTAGTGGGGGATCTTCTCCCCCCTGCATGCTGTCATAATTTTAAAAAAAACCCGCCGTCATACAGATACACTGACAGTTCTGCAGGAGACCGGTGTTGGACTATTTTGTGCGCTAGACAAAACCAGCTACTTGCAATCCCAATAAATAAAACTTCACCTGTAGTTCTATTTCACCCCTCCTAGGGCACATTCTCTTTCCCCTCACATTTTCCACCCTAGCACAAATCCTCTTCCCCAGATCCCCCCTCCTAGCCTAAATCCCCCAATCCTAGCACAGATCCTCCTAAATCCACCCTCCTAGCACAACTCCTTCCAAATTACTCCATCACAAATCTTTCCTCCTAGCACAACCCCTCCTAATGCCCCCTCCTGGCACAATTCCCTCCCCCCCCCCCCCCCCAATCCCCTGTCCTAACACAAATCCCCCCCAACCCCTCTCCTAGCAAAAATTCCCCCCAAATCCCCCCTCCTAGTACAGCCCCCCAATCCCCCCTCCTAGCACAGCACCCTCCAAATTACCCTTTGCAGCAGAAATCCATCCTCCCCACCCAATTTTCTCTCCTAACACACACCCACCCTAAATCCCCCCTCCTAACACAAAGCCCCCCATCCTCCCTTCTAGCATAAATTCTTCCTCAATGCACCCTCCTAGTACAAATCCCCCCACCTAGCACAAATCCCCCTCCCAGTACCAATACCCTTGCTTCAATCCCCCCCTCCCCAATCCCTCCCATAGCTAAAACTCCTCCAAATTACCCTTCTCAGCATAACATTTTTCAACTTTACCCATATTTCCCTGCCCCTCACAAACCTTCCTACTAGCACATATCTGCCCATTCTTTTTACTAGCACAAATCCCCCCCCCCCCCCCAATCATTCCCATTACCCTTCCCTGCAGAAATAGCCCTCATCCCCCCTCCTGCACTAACGTCTCATCACAGATGATTGTTTACCCTCTCCCCTCCTTTCACTGCGTACAGAGGCGGAGACCAAGTAGAGGTGTTGGTTGTGTTGCTTCCACTTTGTCCCCTGCTCCCCATTAAGATTAGCACCTTTGGGGAGCGGGTACCCACTAAAAGTTGACCGTGGAATATTTAGTAGCAAGAAAATTTTGCGGATGGACTTATTGCACAGATGACAACCTGTTACAGTACCACACTTGAATTCACTGAGCTCCTGAGAGCGACCCATTCTTTCACAAATGTTTGTAGAAGCAGTCTGCATGCCTAGGTGCTTGATTTTATACACCTGTGGCCATGGAGGTGATTGGAACACCTGAATCCAATGATTTGGAGGGGTGCCCCAATTCCTTTGGTAATATAGTGTGTCTAAATTGCCTGTTGTTCTGTATTCACATCATTGTGTTGAGTAGGGAGCCATCTATTGGGCATTCACTGAAATTGCACTATATTGTACTTTTGTCAATAAAGAAATAAAGAACAGGGAGTTTCTCATACTTGTTAAAAATAAAGATTTCCCATCTACCCCTGCAAGTTCTTTCATTGTGTTTGTCATATATATATATATATATATATATATATATATATATATATATATATATATACACAGTTAGGTCCATATATATTTGGACACAGGCACAATTTTAGTTTTTTTCAGGTACTTACCAAAACATATTCAAGCTATAATTATATAATGGATAAGGGCTAAAAGTGCACACTTCCAGGTTTAATTTGAGGGTATGTACATCCAAATTGGAGGAAGGGTTTAGGAATTACAGCTCTTAAGAGTATTATTATTATACAGTATTTATAAAGCGCCAATAGTTCGCTCAGCGCTGTACATTACAAAGGGGGACAGAACATGTGACAGAACAATACCAATACAATGCAAAACATGAGGGAATTGAGGGCCCTGCTCTTTCGAGCTTACAATCTAGGAGTAGCCACATCGCCCCTTTTTTCAAGGGACCAAAAGTAATTAGACTATTATTATTATACAGTGTTTATATAGCGCTAAAGGGTTTGCTCAGTGCTGAATATAATCATAAATAAAACGTTCATTTTTAATATTTTGTTGAGAATCTTTATTGGCAATGACTGCCTGAAGTCTGGAACCCATGGACATTACCAAAGACTGGGTTTCCTCCTTTCTGATGCTTTGCCAGGCTCTAACTGCAGCTGTCTTCAGTTGTTATTTGTTTGTGGGTCTTTCTGCCTTTAGTTTTGCCTTCAGCAAATTAAATGCATTTCAATTGGGTTGAGATCAGGTGACTGAGTTGGCCATTGCAGAATATTCCACTTCTTTTACTTCAAAAGCTCCTGGGTTGCTTTTGCAGTGTGTTTTGGATCATTGTCCATCTGTACTGTGAAGCGCCGTCCAATCAACTTTGCTGCATTTGGCTGAATGTGGGCTGACAGTATATCTGTAAACACTGCAGAATTTATCCGGCAGATAAATTGTTCATTGTATGCATTTATAAGAAATATGTTTACACACGTATTGAAACTTCAGTTTATGCAATTGTATTGCAGTTTTACACAACTATTCACAGAAGTAAATTCAGTTTTGTAATGAAACACAACTCTGCTTCTGTCAGTTTTGTTAGCTAGTTGTTGGCTAATCATTAGTAGGACAGCATACCAGTCAAAATAGTGTATATGCTTTTAGGGCCCTTGCATACTTTAACTACATTAGGCATCTGACTGTACAGAGTAAAATACACCTGTGGCGCCCAGGAAGCCTCAATTGCAGTATACTTTTATCCATTGAGATGCATTACAGAAAGTGCCCAGGCACCACAAGTGCTTCTTACAATGTATGGCTGTGGGCAAGAGCCCTTATAAGAACAGATATGGCTCCTGTTTGTCACACGTTTTAATAAACACCCTACTCTGATTTTTATTATATTTTTTAATGCATACATTATTGATTTATCTTTTCAAATAGTATTTTTTGTAGAGCCAACATGTTTCAGGGCTTCCAAGGGGCTGGAGATTAGTGTGGTATTTCCAGATGAGGAGCCTGCTTCCAGTTTTTAGATTGAGAATGCTCCCCTTCTCCACTCCTATAGGGTTCGGTAACTGTGGAGGACTGCAGTTGTCCACCTAGTCATTAGAGTATTAAACAGAGGCACACTGCCATCTTCAGGCCAGGGGAGGACTGACAACTCATGGGGCCCCCGGGCAATAGGGGATCATGGGGCCCCTGTCTCCTCGCCCACACTCAAACCAAACCCAAGTCTATGAAAGGTACCGGGGGCATCTCATGGGGCCCCTTGCTGATCCTGGGCCCTCGGGCAGTACCCGAGAGCCCGAAGGGTCAGTCCGCCCCTGCTTCAGCCTTGTGTGACTTCTGTAAACAAACCAGATAGCTGTCATGTGATCATTATGTCATAGATGTCAGTGTGATCACAGGATTGGAAATCACACTAATTAGTTCCAGATCATTTGTACCAACTGGATCTGTCAGATACAGTGCATTATGACAGTCAGCAGCGGGCACCTTGGCATGCTGCTAGCAGTCAAAGACATTTTCGTCCACACAACTGCCTCTCACTGGATATTTTCTCTTTTTCGGACCATTTTCCGTAAACCCTAGAGATGGTTGTGTGTGAAAACCCCAGTAGATCAGCAGTTTTAGAAATACTCAGATCAGCCTGTCTGGCACCAACAATCATGCCACGTTCAAAGTCACTTCAATCCCCTTTCTTCCTCATTCTGATGCTCGGTTTGAACTTCAGCAAGTCATCTTTACCACGTCTAGATGCCTAAATGCATTGAGTTGCTGCTATGTGATTGGCTGATTAGCAATTTGTGTTACCAAGCAATTGAACAGGTGTACCTAATAAAGTGACTGGTGAGTGTAGATCAATTTAACACAAGACATTATGCTGAGGAACATTAAAACAGTTATAAAGGCTGAAGGTTTTTTACTGTCATGCATAAAGGTAGAAAAACCTTCAGAATGCGTCTCATCCCTGTGTAAACTGATAGGCCTGGAAGAGAGTTGTTTGTTTTGAAAAACAACAGACTGTCTGGATCACCACATGAAAAGAGAAGAAAGAAAGCCTAAAAAAGAAAACTAATGCAGCTACCACATCTAAGAAATGTAGAGTTCTAGTGGAATAAAAAAGAAATAAAAGCAGCTACAAAAACTGTAGCTGCTGACTTTTAAAATGCAGCCACTTACCTGTCCTCACCATGGCTGGTTTCACCGTCCGTCTTCTCTCCCTGGCGCCGGCATCTTCAGTGTGGGCACCCAGCTGTGACAGCTTGCGGCTTCACAGTCAAATGCCCATTGTGCATGCGCAAGTAGCACTGCGCTTTGTGAATGGCCCCGTAGTCTTCTGGGACCTGTCATGTGTCCCAGAAGACTATGGGGAGGGCAATTTTTGCTTAGGCGATTTCAGTGGAAGTGGGAGTTTGGGTACCCACTCCCCAAAGGTGTCAATCCTTAATGGGGAGCGGGGGACAAAGGCTTAAAGCGGAACGTCCCCTTTTGGGTGGAGCTCCTCTTTAAGCTGCAATATAATAAATGTTTGCTTTTGAGTTTAATACTCCTTTTAAAGTGAAATTAAACTTAAAGAAAAAAACTGACAGGTAGGATCTTTATAACAGAAAAGACCCTTTTGGTTTCCTTTGTCATAGACCCCTCTCCCTGCTTGTCTGTGTTTATGTACATTGAGCTGAACTTACACAGTGCCACTGCTTAGTGCCATCATGGTGTGACTCCTGTGCATATGAGCGGAAGTGACATCATGGCAGCCTGGTGGCTGAACTTTCTGGACCTGGAAGGGAGACTGGGAGATGTCAGCGCTGACCACACAGTGCTGGAAGGAAAAAAAAAAAACATGCTCTGATGCCCCCCCTTCCTTACAATAGCAGCCAAGAAAATACATTTGTCACCATCCACCATCATTGCTGTGTATTATACCAAACTACAGTAAGTGCAGGAACATGGTTTGCTGGGAGCTTTGTGGGTACCTACACTGATTATTACAAAGTAATACAAAGTTTTCATCACACAGGTGTTACAAACCTGGACAACCACATTTTGTAAAAGATAATAGCAGGTGTTAAATTGATACTAGCCCAGGACCCTGCATTCACTTTATCTGGTCTCCCACAGTACGCAGAACATGGAAATGCAATTATTTTAGTAAATATAAACTGCTAAATACCTTTTCTCATCAGCAGTTAGATCAGTCTTGTAACTTCTATCAGTGTTCTGCAGAGCACTGGTTAAAGCTTGGAGGAGGATGTGAAACCCCTGACCTCTGTGTGGACAGTGCTGATTGGCCCTGTGCTGATCACATGCACTCTCATAGTTACATAATTACATAGTTACATAATTACATAGATGAGTGAAGCCTGGACCCTATATACCCAACGACTTGGGTAGGACAGGGTGTCCCGGTCTTTTTGCTCATCCCTGTAGTCTCATAGCAAGTAATAATATATATACATAGTTACATAGTCTGGCTGAAAAAAGACAAAAGTCCATCCAGTTCAACCATTAAAAAAAAAAGTTATAATCCTATACCCACAGTTGATCCAGAGGAAGGCAAAAAAAAACAGCAAAGCATGATCCAATTTGCTCCTGCTGGGAAAAAAAAACCTTCCTGATCCCCTGAGAGGCAATCAGATATTCGCCGTATCAACTTTATCTATAAATGTTAGTAACCAGTTATATTCTGTGTATCTAAGAAACAATCCAGGCCTTTTTTTAAAGCAATCCACTGAGCTGGCCAGAACCAACTCTTGAGGGAGTCTATTCCACATTTTCTCAGCTCTTACTGTGAAGAAACCTTTCCATGTTTGGAGATTAAATTTCTTTTCCTCCAGATGTAAAAAGTGCCTCCTTGTCCTTTGTGTTCACTTCAGGGTGAATAACTCTACACTGAGTTCACTATATGAACCACTGATGTATTTATACATGTTGGTCATATCCCCCCTTAACTTCTTCGCGCTGGCCGTACACAAATGTGCGGCCTCCTGACGTCTGGGCCTTGACGCCGAGCAGCCGCACATTTGCGTGCAATTAAGAAAACCATATGTGCTGAGAGCGGGCACCCTGCACGCTCCCAGCACACATGTCCGGTACTCACGGAAAGGTCCCAATTTCCTCTTTCGATCGGGACCTTTCCCGATCATGTGACCGCCAGGACAGCGAATCACGGCGGTCACATGACCTTAAAACCCCGCCCCGCCTCCCGGCTTCTGAAACCCATAAAGGGCCAGGAGGTGCCGGCGGCAAGGGGTTAATCTCCTTTTCTCAAGAGAGAATAAATTCAGTTCCTCTAATCTTTCCTCATAGCTGAGCTCCTCCATGCCTCTTATCAGTTTAGTTGCCCTTCTCTGTACTTTCTCCAGTTCCCAAGAAAAAAAAAAAAACCTCTCTAGCAATACACACTAAACTGAGCATGTGCACGTGACTACGGATTCAATCTGTATCAGGTGGTCATTTCAACAAGAGGAGGAGCAGAGAAAACAGGATCAAACAGCCTTTTTACACAATGCAGAGGATTAACCCATTAGGTTCCACAGTGAGTATAACAAGCATGCTTTACTGCATATACAGACTGATTTTACTGTTGTGGGTTTAGTAACACTTTAATTTCTAAGTAAAAACAGAGATGTAGAACAGTATTAGAGCAAACACAAGCACACTAAGATAGCCAATGATTTTGATTTATTTGCTGCATATTTAAATAGAAGCAACATAATATGTCCCTCGGCCTCAGAGATTCTGCTCTCTCCTGGCTCTCATCCTGCCTGTCACAATGCTCTTTCAGCGTTACCTATAATGCCACCACCTCCCCCTCACTCCCCCTCTCTGTTGGGGTCCCTCAAGGCTCTGTCCTCGGGCCCCTTCTCTTCTCCATCTACACCTCCTCCCTTGGCCAACTCATACACTCTCACGACTTCAACTACCACCTCTATGCCGACGACACCACAAATCTATCTCTCAACCCCCCACCTCACCCCCTCGGTCTCCGCCCGAATCACACACCTGTTGAGCGACATATCAGACTGGATGTCGCTCCACTTCCTTAAACTGAACCTCTCCAAAACCGAGTTTCTTGTCTTCCCCCCAGCCCAGACACCACCCCCCAGTGACTTCTCCATCATGTCCAACAACGCCACCATCAAACCCGCCCCGCAGGCCAGAATACTTGGTGTCATTCTGGACTCCAACCTATCCTTCCAGCCCCAAGTCCACTCTTTAACAAACTCATGCAGACTCCACCTCCGCAACATCGCCAAAATCCGCACGTTCCTAACCCCAGAAACCACTAAACAGCTCATCCACTCCCTCATCATATCACGACTCGACTACTGCAACTCCCTCCTCACTGGCCTGCCTCGCCGCTGGCTATCCCCGCTTCAGTCCATCCTGAATACGGCTGCCAGACTCATTCACCTTTCCAACCGCTCCGTTTCCGCCACCCCCCTCTGCCAATCCCTCCACTGGCTTCCGATTGCGCAACGGATCAAATTCAAAATCCTAACACTGACGTACAAAGCTGTCCACCATACTGCCCCGAACTACATCACTGACCTAATATCCAAGTACCACCCAGCACGCACACTCCGCTCCTCACAAGACCTCTCTCTAGTTCCCTGGTCTCCTCCTCCCATGCCCGCCTCCAGGACTTCTCCAGGGTGTCACCCATCCTCTGGAACTCCCTGCCCCAACCCATCAGATTATCACCTACTCTCCTCTCCTTTAGGCGCACCCTGAAAACCCATCTCTTCAGGGAAGCCTACCCCACCCCCTGCTAACTTGCCAACCTCCTCCACTCTTCCTACCACTCCATCCCCCACAGCTATCTCCTCCTGTGCCACCATCCCCTCCCTCCTAGATTGTAAGCTCGAAAGAGCAGGGCCCTCGATCCCCTCATGTTTTGCATTGTATTGGTATTGTTCTGTCACATGTTCTGTCCCCCTTTGTAATGTACAGCGCTGAGCGAACTATTGGCGCTTTATAAATACTGTATAATAATAATAATATGTCTTGTTTGCTTTCTGGTCTTGTATTCCTTTACGTGAAGTCTCCCCTCCGGATGTCACATTCATATTGCAGAATTAAACTTGCCATATTTAGTTGCACGTTGTGTGGTTGATACAGGATGTAGCTAGCAGGAAGTTTGTCAGATCTTTTTTAAACAGTGCAGAAGTTTCCACATTTCTTTATAGGAAGGAGATCTATGGTAAAGAGCTAACACATTCAGCAACAAGCGGCTGAGCTCCAGCTATTGCAGTAAGGTCACACTTCTGCATTTCACAAAGATAAGTGTGACGTTTCCCTTTGCATTTAAAACTTAGAAAGTGTTCAAAATGTCATCTGTATAAGCGACTCATCAAATAATGAGGCTCATTTCATATTTAATTTTCTATGAAAAAATACATTTAGATATTGCATCATCTTTTTACAGTACGTGTCATTTTAGATATTCTAACCACAAAGCAAAAGATGGTCCTTTTTGTTATCTGCGTCATACTAACAGTTTTGGAGGAAATATATTTATAATGATCATTTTGTTATAGGAGTTTGAAACTGTTATTTTTGTAAATTTTACTTGAGATCCTCAGTACCTCTGATGAACATGAGACTCACTCCCCTTTTTCCCATGACCGTAATGCTTAACGGCTTCCCAACCACCCTTTAGCAGATATACTGCTACAGAGCGACATGGGTGTGCAAAATCACGTATATTTATATATCGCGGCCGCGGCTGTCAGTCACCGGGTCCCAGGCAGTGATTACTCACCGGCACCCAATGATTGACAAGGATCTCCGATGGGGAGGAGAACAGTATGTAAACAATACAGTTCTCCCTGTCAGCTTGTGCACACTGCTTTGGATGGCTGTTACAGCACAGTGTGATTACAGTTAAGCACCAACACACAGCACATAGTAAAACAGCACACAGTTAACCCTTTGATCGCCCCTCTTCCTGCCCAGTGGCATTAGTACAGTGTTAGTGCTTTCTATTAGCACTGATCACTGTATTAGTGTCACTGGAGATGTCAGTGACACCAAGTCAGTTCCCCCCAGTGTCAGAATGTCCGTTGCAGTCCCGCTATGAGTCGCTGATCACCGTCATTACTAGAAAAAAAAAAAAAAAATTCCAGTGTATATACCGCCATTTGTAAACGCTATAACTTTCATGTAAACCAATTAATTTACACGTATTGGGATTTTGTTTTAGCAAAGACATGTAACAGAATACATTTTGGTCTACATTTATGATGAAATTAGATTTTTGTTATTTTTTTCACTGGACATGTTTAATAGCAAAAAAAATTTTTTTTTTCTCAAAATTGGGTTTTTTTTTTAGCAAAAAATAAAAAACACACAGGTGATCAAACACCACCAAAAGAAAGCTCAATTTGTGGGAAAAAAAGGACATAAATTTCATTTGGGTGTAGTGTTGCATGCAGGGGTGGACTGACCATTTGGAAACTCGAGAACTGCCCGAGAGCCCGGGATCAATAGGGGGCCCCATGAGATGCCCCTGGTACATTTTCATAGGCTTTTTTGAGTTTGGGCAAGGACACAGGGGCCCCATGATCCCCTATTGCCCGGGGGCCCCATGTGTTGTCAGTCCGCCCCTGGTTGCACGACCACGAAATTGTCAGTTAAAGTAACACAGCACCGTAACACAAACAATGGCCTGGTCAGGAAGGGGGGTAAATCCTCAGGAGGGCAAGTGGGTAAAGTGTTACTAAGTCCACAACAGTAAAATCACACTGTATTTGCAGTAAAACATGCTTGTTTTACTTACTGTGGAACTTAAAGTGTAGCTCCACCCAAAAGGGGAAGTTCCGCTTTAAGGACTGCTCCCCCGCTCCCCATTAAGGATTGGCACACCTGTCCAGAGTGTTACTAATCCCAGGACCCTGCATTCACTATATCTGGTTGCCCACAATAGACAGAACACAGAAAAGCAATTATTTTAGTAAATATATAAACTGCTAAATACCTTTTCTCATCAGCAGTATACTGTATAGCAGTCCTGTGACCCTCTGTCTGGACAGTGCTGATTGGTCCTGTGCTGATCACATGCACCCTCCCCCCAAAAAAACTCTCTAGCAATATACACCAAACTGAGCATGTGCAGAGTGACTCCTAGGGCTCTGTACTATCAGCAGATGGATTGGGGAGTGTGGAAGAAGGGGAGGATCAGAGAAGTCAAGATCAAACAGCCTTTTTACACAATGCAGAGGATCAACCCCTTAAGTTCCACAGTGAGTAAAACAAGCATGATTGACTTGGCGCTGTCAGATGAAGGTGAGAAATACAGTTCTCACTGCTGTATAAGCTCAAGCTAGAGCAACTAAAGGGCTTCTTTCTTCACAACCAAGGCTGAATGGAGCAGTTGAGGAGTGATAAAAGGTATGTGTTGCTGGAGGCAGTTGCCATAAAACAAACCTGTTGGATTACATTGAATGGTTCGATTTATAGTTCTTTGCAGATTTAGTTTTGTGTTTGGACTCGAGTTGACAGTTCTGGACCTGTCATCTTTCATGTTAGGCTCCATGCACACTGGGCATTTTAATAACCCTGGTAGAGTTATCGTGTAAAGTCGTGTTAAAAACGTGAGTATTTCAGCATTTGTTTGTGTTTTTACATTCGCATTTAGCGGTGTTTTTTCACGTTTGCGTTTTTAGCATTTTTTTACACAAAAAGTTTTTAAAAATGTAAAAAAAAAAAAATAATGCCTAAAAACGTTGGTTTGCCACGTTTTACTGCGTTTTGCAGCATTAGAGTGTTTTAACAGCTAAAAAACTCCTCTAGAAACCCACTAGTCCTGTTGTTTTTTTCCAGCCAAAAAACATTGATTACAGTCTGCATGGACACATAGGATAACATGCTGGGGGGTTTACTGGCTGTAGAAAAAATTGTCAAAAGCCAAAAACAGCCACTGTAAAAGCATCCAGTGTGCATGAGGACATAAAGTGGAGCTTTACATTTAGCATACCCTGGGGCAGGGGCGGACTGACAACACATGGGGCCCCCGGGCAATAGGGGATCATGGGGCCCCTGTGTCCTTGCTCAAACTCAAAAAAGCCTATGAAAAAGGTACCAGGGGCATCTCATGGGGCCCCCTATTCCTCCCACTGACACTAATGATAGGGCACTATTCCTCCCACACTGACAGCAATGATGGGGCACTATTCCTCCCACTGACACCAAATGATGGGGCACTATTCCTCCCACTGACACCAGTGATGGGGCACTACTCCCACTGACACTAATGATGGGGCACTATTTCTCCCGCACTGACACTAATGATGGGGCACCATTGTTGGTGTCAGTGGGAGGAATAGTGCCCCATCATTGGTGTCAGTGAGAGGAATAGTGCCCCACTGTTGTCAATGGGAGAAATAGTGCCCCCTCATTGGGTGTCACTGACACCAATGCCCCATCATGGGTGTCAGTGGGAGGAATAGTGCCCCATCATGGGTGTCAGTGGGAGGAATAGTGCCCCATCATGGGTGTCAGTGGGAGGAATAGTGCCCCATCATGGGTGTCAGTGGGAGGAATAGTGCCCCATCGTGGGTGTCAGTGGGAGGAATAGTGCCCCATCGTGGGTGTCAGTGGGAGGAATAGTGCCCCATCATGGGTGTCAGTGGGAGAATAGTGCCCCATCGTTGGTGTCAGTGAGAGGAATAGTGCCCCATCGTTGGTGTCAGTGTGTGAGGAATAGTGACCCATCGTTGGTGTTTGTGGGAGGAATAGTGCCCCAACGTTGTCAGTGGGAGGAGTAGCACCCCATCGTTGTCAGTGGGCAGAGCTCTAATAGGAAGAGGTGGAGCCTAAAGAGAATGGGGTGGAGTTTACAGATGAAGGGGTGGATCTTAAACAGGAAGGAGTGGGACAAAATTTAGATGCTGGGGGTTGCCTGATTTTAGTCTTGCCTTGGGCAGCACAAAACCAAAATACACCACTGGATGTCACCTCCTGCAGGCAAGAAGCTGGGTGTATGATAAGTATATTAACAAACTTGTTATATGCAGTTTATGTATTGCAGGAGGGATCTCTAAATCAATAAACATACCTTACTCATAGTACAAGGTCTGCTATAATGCATAAATACTATGTAATGTAAAAGAGGAGCATTTGCATGTCTCCAGTACCTCTCACAGACATCTCAGTACTCAACCCTGACAATCCCTTCATACGCCTTTCCAGACAAATGGCACTATCTTTGTTCAGGTTCTATTCAAATATAGCATCTTCAGGAATAAGATGATGGCTGAGATGACAAAATCGTTTAAATTCTGGTACCTGTGCAGTTTTTGGTTATATTCACAAATATCTGATACCGATCTGACTCCTGCTGCAACCTCCTAGCTTACAGCTTTGTAGCTTGCTACAAAGAGATTTACAAAATGTGCAATGGGGATAATACACTGGCAGTCATTGAAGAAAGCGAGCAACACGCTTACAATTATAACAATATGAATTCATAGGCAAAGACAACTGTCAGAGGAACTACAGCCCAGCCTGCCTAATCCCCATGCTAATGCCAGCCATAGATGGGTTGAAAATCAGCCGATTTTCGCACCGTTAGGCTACGTTCACACTAGCCTTGTGTGCAGGCGGCAGAGAGGCGTTTGGTAAGCGTTTTTACCGCTTCCCAAACGCCTCTGCCAATTCTGCACATTACAGCACATGGTGCTGTTCTAACGGGAGCGTTTGCGTCGCGTCGCGGCAAAACGGACGCCTCTGGACGAGTCAGGAGGCTTTGAAGCCTCCTATTCTCGTCTATGGTGCCGCTCCGCAAATGCCCGGCCGGCGTTTGCGGTGCGGTTGCGACGCGGTTTCGGGGCGTTTGCGGAGCTGGTAACACCACTCAAACTGCATTATAGGCGTTTGTGGGGCGTTATTAACGCTCGGCAAACGCCTAGCAACCGCCGCTAAACCGCGCATGCGGCGTTTGCGGAGCGTTTGCCGAGCGTTAATACGCTCCGCAAACGCCGGACCAACCCTTGCCAAAAGCTATAGGGGCGTTTGGCAAGCGTTGGCAAAACAGCCTAGTGTGAACGAGCCCTTAGTGGGTTAATTGGTCGGCCGTTTTTTCGGGGTTTTTGCACATTTTTTTTTATCAGTCATGTTGGAAAATTTGCAGCCGATTTTGACAATCGGCCGATTTCTTGGCAATGATGGGGAAATCAGCCGATCGTTTTATCGATAAAAAAATCTGCGCATGAGGTGTGACAGAAGAAGAAAGAAGTAGAAAGAAGAAGTAGTCCGCTATTATATTTTATATGAAAAAGTCTTGCGGTTGCAACAAATTTATCCATTTGTATAAAAACATTGTAATCCAAATAATGTATTTGTATTGCTGTCACATTGTATGGTGTGCTCCCCTGTCTCTGCAAGGGACAGAAGTTATGGGGTTAATGCCGGCCATAGACGGGGTCGAAAATCGACCAATTTGTTTTAATGTTGGTGCTAATGTCGGCTGATTGAACGACCGATTTTTTTCATTTTTTTTTTATTAAAAAAACGGCCGATGGTCGACCCATCGAAGGCCTGCATAAGTGGTGTATTTAGGTTTCGTGCTGCCCTAAGCAACACAAAAATTCCCCCCCACAGAGAGACCCTGACACTGACCAACACCCCCCCATCCCCATGAAGAGAGCCTGACATTTATCAACAACACCCCAGCCCCCCCCCCACCCAAGAGAGCCTTTTACTACCACTGCCCCCCATACACTGGCAACCCCCCTCCCACTCCGACAAGAGATATGTCACTCACCTTCACAGCTCTGGACATCCCCGGAACAAGAGTCAGGCTCTGCATACACCATCAAGCAGCGTGCAACCTCTCTCAGATCCCTGTGCTGCCTGTGTCCCTTCTTCCTTTCCTTCTTTCAGGAGACGGTGCTGCCCCCTGAAAAATGCCGCCCTAGGCAAATGCTTTGTTTGCCTTGTGGTAAATACACCCCTGCCCATGCTTCCCTTTTTCCTCCTATAGAGATTCTGGGAAACCTGGAAACGCAATAATACAATTGATGAGCCAGTGTCCTGGTCAAGAGTTCCCAGTTTTAGTTTAGCACAAATGTATTCTTTAGTTGAATTGCCCTGAACCTGACTGGATGTTTGGAATGAACAAACTACAGGTAAATAAGGTTGAATAGGCATTTTTACAAGAGCCATGTCAGGTTGTGGGAAATGTAGAGAAGCTTAGAGGGGTGCTGTGTGCCAAGAACTGAAGCTGCCCACTGATTACAACCTGTGAAACTGTAGTATTGTATTTGGAAGTGTAGGATTCCTGCCCTAAGCGGGCTTGTCCTAGCTCAAATCTATTGTTGCTGCTAGCTAGGCTGTAATACGCCTAAGCTCTGAATTGTTATAATTCTGCTTTCATTGGGTTTTCCGTAAGCTCAAGGTTGTTTGCTTATGTCTTTTGCAGGGGAGTGTTCCTCAGCAGACAGTGTTAAAAAGATATTGCTGAGCTATGAGTACTTATACCACTCTGGTCAACCATTAGGAGTTTTTTGGGTTGACCTTCCAGATAGGTCTTTTGGGTTGACCTTTCGGATAGGTCTTTTGGGTTGACCTTTCGGATAGGTCTTTTGGGTTGACCTTTCGGATAGGTCTTTTGGGTTGACCTTCCGGATAGGTCTTTTGGGTTGACCTTCCAGATAGGTCTTTTGTCTTTGCAGCCTGAGCTGTTGCTAGGAGAGAAGATTGTTTGTTGGAGGCCTCTGCCTCCCAGGCCTGCTACCTAGGGAGGGTGCAGTCAAGAGTGGGCCACTTTGGCAACTGAAAGGCTTGCACTGCTTTGCTAAAGGGTACATCAAGGAGGAGTAAAGTTGGAGCCTTGTTGGTGCACCAGGGGAAGGAGTTTTGCTGCTGAGGAGTGTTCCTTAGCGCTGGATACAATCTGCGGCCAGAGGGCATTTCATGAGATCTGGTGGCTCAACTGTAAAAGTATTAGTTCTGCCTGAAGCTGCTGAACAGTCTCTGAGGAGTATAGATTGTTTAAAGTGTTAACCTTTACAGAAAAAATGAAAAGGTGAACTAACACCCTCCCCAACCCTACCCCCCATTCTGTGCTGTACTTTCCTTTGGGGATGCTGAGTCTGTCAGTGCCCACGCAGCCAATGTAGTAGTTTGGTAATTTGAAATCCCTGCTCTTCTCTCACTTCTCTGTGAAGTGCTTCTGGTACAGACCATAGCACTTCTGATCGGTCACTGCCAGTGAATCACTCTGGTCCATCTTGTACAAAAAAGAGGGAGAAGAGCAGGACAGCATGACAGCTTCATCATCCCCAGAGGTAAGTACAGCATGGACCTGGGAGGATGGGGTGGAGAGGGTTTACGGTGGTTAGTTTCTGCTCTGGTCCCCTTGTTACCACACCGCCTACCAGTCACCTTCTTTGCCAGATGCTGTTGGGTCTCATAAACCTAATGTGTCTTCTACAGTTTTGAGGCTGTGTTTATGAGTCCTTCTGTAAGGTACTGCTGTACTAAGCTTGGCCATGATATTCAGGGCCTGTTGCCACCTTGTTGGAGCTTTGTGCTACATTCCTTGACTCCGTGTGTATTTACTCCACTTTGGGTACCAAACATCTGGTCCCTCTTACAAGCTCCTCACTCCTTTGGGTGACTTTTTTAGCAAGCCGAGTCCTATAGAGGCATTCATGCGCCCACGGTCCAGATCTGGGCTGTGTGCATCCATAGACACACAGCGCCATGCCCCTCTCCCTCCCCACAGGAATGTGATGGCAGGAGGAACTTTTGGCTCCACAGCCCTCAGTTTCTCCCATTGAAGCAAAAAGTGAAGGGAGCAGTGCTGGGGCCAGAGACAGACCTGAAGTGGTGAGTCATGTAAGTGTTTCAGAACAGGTAGGGGTAGGTCAGCTCTTGGGGTGTTTTATTTCATTTTATTATTTAGTTTAATTAGATTTTTCCTTTTGTTATATAGTAGAAGCATAAACTGTATGCTTGTACATATTTAAAATAGGTTATAGAATATATTAAGGAGCAAGCGATGCACAATCCAGAAATTATTACAGCTTGCAGGGGAAAAGGGGAAGGTATAGGCTGGACAAATCCTTGGAACCTGGCCAGGCATTTGGTTTTGTTGTTGTCTACATGGCCGTTTAAATTCCATCAGGACTTCAACTGGGTTACTACTAAGTATACAATGCCTGGTCTAGAGAGCTTTAGGTTTTATTTTTTTTTTAATTCAAATATTTATTAATTTTTCATATTCATAAATACATATAAAAAGAGAAAAATAAATAAAGAAGATAATACATTTCTTCAACACTCATCTATCTTATAAAATTCTTATCTCCTTCTATTTTCCCCCCTTATTTCCCTTCCCTCTACCCCTATTTCCCACCCTCCCTCCCACTCTGCATTTCTCTCTTTCATCCTTTCCTAAAGATCAAAAGAAAGAAAAAAGACACAGAAACTTCATTCATCACTTTCCATTGCTTCACATATATTCATTTGATGTATAAATTCTTCCCATTGCCTCCATCTCCTAATGT